TAAATTACTTACAAAGCTTCATGGCTGCATTTGCCTAAGTAAAACTAAAGATTAGATAGGTGCAATTTAAACAATTTTAAAAGATTATTAGAAACAGTAAATCATAACATTCTAGTGACTTATCTCTTCTTGCAACAATACTGTAAGGAATGTCTCTACATACAGCCTTCATGTTCTCCTTCAGGCTATGAAATTTTCTCTGCTCTTCCTTGAGCAGCAACAGAAGACAGGATGGGACTTCCAGGACGGCAAACACAAGGGTAAATTGATAGAATTACACCCAGGAAAGACCATCTAGAAACCTGAGAGACAGTAATGAAATTCCAAGAAACACTCAAAAAGTGCAGAAATAAATGCAAGGAACAGCAGACTAGAACCTGGGCTTTCTGAACAACAGGATGTTGCCAAAGAAATCCTGCCATTCTCATCTGCTAAATGAAACGCTCAAATTGCTTATCAGTTCCAGTAATCCACAGAGGTTATCCTGAGCTTCAACAGCTCTGAGTGTTTCCTGTAAACTGGCAGGGAAGGCTAACACAGATGCCTCATTTAAGGACTTGTGTAACTGGACCTTGCAGTCTCCACTGCTAGGCAGTGTCCCAGACACAAGACACATGGGACATGTTAACCTCAGTTTCTAAGTTAGTAGTGTATAAATTCTTTCTTGGGCAAGGAAACTGAAATACAGAGAGAGAAAAGAACTGTGTGTAGTTCAGCAACTTGGTGAACAACATTAAAGAGAAAGAAGGAATTATTTTAATTTCTATTTCAATTTAAAGATCATGGAGTGTTTGTAGAGGAGGATGGCACCAATATAAAATTTTTCAGAGGGAATGAAACAGAGCATCTTACTGCCTCACTTTTACCTGAACATCCCTGAACAGCTGTATTCTTGTACTATGCTGAGGTCACCTCATGGGTCTTTGATCACTATAATTACTTTAAAAAATTTATATTCGAAATGGCTTTTACATTTCTTCCTTGAGCACCATGTGAGGTGAATGACACAAAAGTCAGCCAGGATCCATTTTATTAACTGATGCAAAGATATTAGATTCTAGATATTAAGCTTGTATAACGAGGCTCTGTTTGTGCCCCAGAGAGTTTCTGAGCCCTATTGTTCTGCACTGGAAACAGAGCAGACACTTGATACTTACTTTTCCTATTCCATGGCACCAACGGCCAAAACCATAATAAATTACTGTTTATACTAATGGGCTTTTTGTATATCTTATTCTAAATTAGATATATTTTAAATTAGATATGATTTTAAATAAGATATCAAAACACTAAATACTGGAAAGAAACAGCCATCTGCAGACAGTTGCTAATTTCATGGCTATTTTACTGTTTCCTTTCTTCCAATAAAAAATATATTTGAGGATACTTTATCTATGTGTACAATTTAGGCTGCAAACTGGAAACTTTAAAACCTTTAAAAATTTGTTTGTGTCACTGTGTGTCTTGATTTAAAAAGAAAAGCTAGAATTTAAAAATATAGTCTACTGAGAAGCATTCTGAAGATATTAAGCAAAATATATGAGTAAACTTTTCCAGGAGTGTAAAATGCATGTAAAATGAGTGTAAAACTCAAGGCTTTCTGTTTCTAAGGTAAAAATTGATCTGTCTCTGTGCTCACAGAGCTTTAGAAATTGAGCCAACACTGCAGGTAAATTCAGCAGAAATACTGCATCTGGAGTTGGCAAATCTGTCGAAATCATATATATTATTTCCAAATGATCCTATTTTTTTAGGATTTAAGAGCATCTGAACCTATGAATTGTCATTTTATTCTACATTCATTGAGAAGAAATTTCACAGCTTCCATTTAATAATGAAAATTTCCACAAGATTTCTCTTCTGATCAGCAAACTTTGGTGATTGAGGGGTTCACCTCACAGCTGTCAACTTTTACTTTGATAAGACAGAAGCAGAACCAGTAAACTCAAAAGGATAGCAACAGAAATAATGATTAAGCTTTGTAGCTCAGGAAGATATACTCTTGCAAAATATGACATTTCTTTAGCTGCTCTCTCTTAAGCCATTGTAGGGGTTCAAATGCAACTCATAAATAGGTTAAAGACAAGTCATATTAATCCCTAATTAGATAGCAATAGAAATTTATTCAAATTCATCCAGTTAAGAATGCACTGCCACTGTCTGATTGCTGGTAGAATATAGGATTTCCAATATTCTATCCCTTTGCCACAAAGTCCTCTAATTTAAACACCTCGTCTTCTTATAAGCCAGCAAAAAAAAAAAAAAAAAAAAAAAAAAAAAAAAAAAAAAAAAAAAAGTGCCTTAATTTTTAAATTAACAACTATTTTGAATTCTGACCACATTACCTCTATGATAAGGAAGACCCAAAAAGTAAATGCACAAAAACTGCAGGGATGGTGAGGGAGGATAGTAATTCCCTACCTTTTGGAAATTCAGGTTGGGATTAAGGCCACAAATTCTCTTTAGAATCCTAGAAATACCAGTTTGACAGCAAAGGAAATAAAAATTTGAAAGGTGAAAATCTCCATCAGCTTCAGGTCTATAAGCATATATGGGAATATGACAAAATCATTTCTCATTCCAATCAACGAATAGTCAGAGAAGATCAGAGTCTGGCTGAACAGCCAACAAAACTAACACAGTTAACAAAAACTCACCAAAACTAATTATCTAGTTTCTAAAAATATCCTGTCGGTTACCAAGGCAATATAGAGATGGAGCACAAATGAAGGGTTTTTAGGAAACTTTTTGGAAAGGTAACTCATAATCTCTGAATTCAATATTTCTTTCTTACTTGTAGTCTGAAAAAACATAGAGCATTAAGAACTGACTGTACTTTTTAAATGTGGTCTAATAATATATTTTCTGCTTAAAAATTTCATACTTTCAGCCAATAAAAGAACAAATAGGCACACTCTTAAACTATTAAATGGAAAGAGTTATCCAAATATGCTGAAACTGAATATGAAGGTTAACTTGTCATGGTGAGCAAAGTGAAAAATTCAGTCCTCTACAAAGAAAGATAAGCTTTGGCCTGTGTGGCATAGATGGCTATAATAAAAAGCTTCACAATACTGATGATCTTTTTCAATGCTTCTGGACCAAGAGCTCTGTATTTCTATTTATACACAAATCTAAAAATTCAGTTGTATTGAGAGATTGTATGCAGAGTGATTATTACTAAATTCTGAGTAGGTTCAACATATATTCACAAAGAGTGTTATAAAATGAACTTCATTTTTGGTGACACCATGCTATCCCCATCACTGTTAAATTCATTTTATGTATAACAATAAAATTATTATGACCTGGTGCAAAAATGGCAGGGGCTTAGCTGCAAAAAGCCTGCAAAGGTAATTTATTGTGGAGGAAAAGTGATAAAGATGCAGAGTAACAAAACTAGAACACTTTAAGGTTGCTGGCATCATATTGTTGGGTTTTTTACTATTCTTTTCTTACTCTTGTTACTGCAAATAAATATTTATTGTGAGACACCAGATGTCCTCTAGACTTTCATGTAAAAATTTGTATTAGGGAGTTATTTGAAGGTGTGGATGAAAAAGACTGAATTTACATTTTTAACAAAACTTCTCAAAATTAAGAAAGTATGTCAGACTTGTGCCTATACTATTGAGAGTGCCATGTTCACATGGTTAATTTCCTTTACCCTCTAAAAGAGAGCAGCAACTTCCACATCACCCACCAGGATTGATTCTAGGCCTGTAATAATTCCCATTATTATTATGTATCTGGGAATTGCAGTGAAAAAGGCTGGGTGGCAAGGAAGCAAATCACAGGGAGGATCTAACAGTAGGAAAGGTTTGGGACTGTGCTCATGTAACAGTGCCTCAAAGGTCCAGTTGAGTTATACAGAAATGTCTATGTAGAGATTGCCCATACAACTCCAGAACATGAAAGCTTTCCCAAATCTCCCATTATGAGTGTCTTCTTCTCAGCCAGCCTGCCCAGCTTGATTCACACTGGAGAATGAATATTGTGGTAGGACACAGACGGTTTATTTACAAAAAAGATGGAATTGTAAACTCCTGTACTCCTGTACAAGTGTAGGAGTTTTTAATTCAAACTCAAACTCACTGTTTGAATATATACAGAGAGAAAAACATTCTGCCCAAGCAGCAATTTAACATCCACAACTTTTTCCAAGATGACAACTCAAAGTTGTGTGTAAGCAGATGATATTCCCATGCTATTTTTCAAAAGTGAAATAATACAAAGGCCATATCATGACATATTATTATATATCAATCAAGGAGTAGAACATGCAGAGAGAAGGAACCTGGCTTGAGTGCATGAGGCTGATAACAAATACTTCTTGGGCAAGACAGTCTGCTTTCTTTCCTGAATCTTTTGAGAATTTAAGTGACCCAAAACCCCAGTCCTGAACTGGGAATGGGGAACAAGAGTTTGCCTTCAGACAGAAGCAGACTTTTTTATCTTTTCACATTAATTCAATATGTCACTGATTTCTAACAACAATAATAAAAACGGAGTTGTGGCATGAGCTTTAGTACCTCATGACCACATAAACAAATCCTAGCCTATGAAATACAATTAATGAACCCATGACACCTATACCTAGAAAGCTGAAAAATTAGACTATTTCTCCTTCTCCTTTTTAATTACCTGCAGACAATATGCAATATTTTATATTTTTCAAATCATACAAACAGCATAAGTTGTAAAAAAGAACACTTTTATGATGGCATACGTTTAAAACTTTATTTTTCTGATGATCGTTGTAAATATATTTCTGCATATCAATATAAATTTTATTAATTTATAAATGCATTTCTAAAGTTCATTATTTGTTCAATTAAAAAGTAAAAGGCCCAAACCACTTTTAGAAAGACAAGATTTTCTCTGAAAAAAGTCTGAAAGACTCATAAGCAAAATAACATTGCAAGCACTACCAGAACAGGACAGAGGGCTTTGTACTGTAGTTAAAAAAAAAAGGTTTTATGAAACTCGAAAGAATTTACCTTGACAAGAAGTCTGTGAAGGAGAGACGTACTGGATACCCATGTCGTATAATTTTAATCATGTCTAGGACACCAATGTACTGCAGTTGTGCAGACACATAAAAATTATCAAAAGTATCTGGCAACTTGGAGTTATTAGGTTTTATACAATGAATGCAATGTGGTGTGCAATTCTGCAGCTTCCCAATAATGTCTGCAAGTGATTTCTGGGGAAAAAAACAAACAAATGAACAAACAATTATCAATCATTCCTGTTCAGCTAAGATTATTGTTCACCATATATGCTATTCCTAACTTTTTAACATCATTTTCTCAAAAGGATTGACCACATCATGCAAATGGTTTTCTCAAACATAAGATTTTTCTTTTTTCCATTGCAATCTACAGAGGGTAATCCTGCCTTTAAAACATCTGGAGATAGTTTTGCAAACTTCTGTCCATAAGATGTTCACTGACCCTGAGCTGTATTGCCACAGTGGTTGGGCCCCCTCGTTCCAGTCTCTGAAGAAATGAGGATGTTCCTTTCTTTTTCAACAGCTGTGGAAGAGAAAAGCACACACACAACAATTTTATCTCAAGATGAGCAGCACACCTTTATTGGCATTGTTGCAACTGACTAATGAAGGCAAAAATTTGTAAAAACACTGTGCCATAGACAAGGATTGAGTTTCACAAAGAAATAGGAATTGGATAAATATCCTCAGGTATTTGCAGAGATGGCTCTGCAAATGATGACTGGTGAGTAATTTCTGATTTCAAAAGTAGCTACGTAGATTATAAAGGTAATATACCTTTTACTGGGCAAATCAATATATTTCAGAGCTCTGTGCCAGAAGCAGGACTTGTGCAGTTAGTATCCCATAGAGTCTAGGAGTAGCATAATTCAGTAACTCTGCAAGAAGGTGTCTTATGCCTTTGGCAGATGTTTAAGTCAGTAAATTTAAGAGTACAGATAATTTTTAAAAATCTCGACAGCAAAATAGTATAAATATTTTTTAAAACTCTTCTTATTTCTTTTTCACATGTGAACACTTACTTAAACTTAAGTTACACTTTTATTTTTTAACACATTTTCACCAATTGAACATAAATATTAATAGCTCCCCATCTCATTAGAACCAATGTTACCCCATACATCAGAATTGGGAGGGGAGAATGAATTTATTTTTTGCTGCTCTATTTCCTATCTTTGAGACTAAAATGGCAATAATCATACTAAATATAGTGGTCCCAGAATTAGGGTCTTTTGTTAAACTTTCTATAAAAAGGCTTGCAAAATTACTGCATTCCAGGATCTGGCAAAGCTGTGAAATCAATGACAGCCTTTTCATCTTTGACTGTCCATTGACTTTCTTCAGTCTACTTACCCCATAAAAATCCCTCTGTATTGAGTCAGCATGTACTGGCCTACTCCTTTTTTCCAGCTGTATAAAAAAAGTGTACATCTTCTCAGCTTGGCCCACTCAAGCCAAATGCTATTTAAAATACTGTAGTGCAAGTAATTTTCTACTCACCATGCTAAACTTTGGAGCTCTTTTTTATTTCACTTACAAGGCTGCACTAAGATTTTAAAGGTAAATTCACCCTCACCTTCGAAACTAAAAAGTAAGAGAGATCTGCTTGTTCTAGTTTTCCTCATAAAATAAATCGCTAGCATGCCAATGACACTTTTCAGTTAAACTGTACAAAATAACTGAGGAATATAACCAAAATAGAATTTTCTCCACCTTATGGATAATGCTGTCACCCCTTCCTCTCAAAATTTAAATCAATAGCTCAAGATTGTTTCCTGAATTAGTGGGAGATCCAGGACCAAGCACTTTAGATGCTAAAATTCCTGCCTGCTCTCCCATGTTGCATATTACTTCCCATGGGAAAGAAATATTTATTTCAGAATGAGAAAGAGAAAATTAATGAAAAATGAAAAAAGACAAGACAAAAATTAATTTAATTCAAACTCTCCAAACTTGGACATCTTTAATCTTCAGCTATGGGCTTAGGAAAAAGGCTATATCACCCAAGCTGTACCTCTCTATTACCCTCTAATATACAGCTTTACATTGGAATATCTTGTACCTCTAATCTACAGGAAAAAAAACCCCACATATTTGTATTTTTGTGAGCACTGATAAGAAGCTAAAATCTCCTCCTAAAAAATCTCTCAAGACTTCTGCTGTATAAATTCTGAAACAATCCAATCCTTCCAAAGTAACAGAGGGGAAGACAACAGAGCCAAAATATGCACCAGGATAAGACTGGAGAAAAAACAAGAGAACAAGAGTTGATGTGAGCAAGAGTTGTGAGAGTGCCAGTGAAGATATATCTTATTTAAAAAGGGGACATGATCTTCATAAGTCACAGAGGCTTGAGCTGGCATCCCCAAATTCCTCTGACTCCTTATGTGCTCCAAACTTCTGGCCTGCTAACAGATCTGTTCATGTCTGTCTTAGAATGGATGCATTGCTGTCTTGGATTCTACCCTGCTAGCGTTAGTTCAAAGAGGTAGATTATCCTTACTTGTGCCAACATGCTCAACATCGAGAAAAGAGTCATTTATGGAAAGTTGAACAGATGCATACATGGAGACATTTATAATTATATAACCTAGCAATTAGCTAGGATTGCAGTGACAAGATGAAAGAGGAGGGGACTCACAACAAACTCCTATTTGATTTTAACTTTCTCTACTTCCCTTCCCCGGATTTGGTGGAGTCTAGATGACTGTCCATACACAGCACCACGTGTACCTTCCATTTTTTGTTTCCCACTGCCTACAGTATGATGTATGTTGTGACTCAAATTTCAGATATTAAAGCAATGTCAGTCTCTGGTTGATAATTTTTGCCTTAATGTCCCTCCTTCTCCCTGTCTTCTTTTCTATTATTTTTTCTTCTCTTTGTTGCCTTTAACTTCTGGATAAACTCCAATAAAAATACAGTGGTTATGATTTTCCAACAGATAATAATTTTAATTTTAGGCTGACAAGAAAAATCCCCTTACATTGCACTTGCAATTACAGTAATAAATAACAAAATCAACATTTTTTCAGTCCATCACAGCAGACGTTCAGGGCTATATTGAAAAAGGAAAGGAATTATTTGGGACAGCACAGTTACAGATGTGGGCTTGATCCACAATTTAGAATTTAAGCACTTACCTACTTCCAGCTCCTGCATTTAGCGCCTATTAAAAAAAAAAGTGTTTCTTTTTGCCAGTGGAACTGCTTAGATTCATAAAGTTCTGCTCCAGTCCTGCAGGGCAGCATAGTACCTTGCTCAAATTAGGCCAACATAGTATCAACAAAGTGTTCTGTCTCACCTGCACACCTCTTCTCAAAGCCTGTGTTTGAGAAGCCAAGCCATCCTTGTCTCTGCAGACAGATGAAGGATGAAGTTCTCCCCACCTTCCAACTAATGCCTAAAGGTTCACAGCATTCTCACTGCATCTGAATTTTCTGACTTCACATATCATGCTTCCCAGTGGAATTAAATGTCTTCTGTCTCTCAAGAGAGTAACTACAGGTTAAAAGCTACTTTAGACATGTCAAAACTAGCATAATTTCAGAGATCCCAACTGTGCAGTGTTTTGCCCTGGTTTGATTAAGCTTCTAACTCAGATATGCTTTTCATACTTCCTCCCATGTATGAGACTAGGATCTTTTTCACATCCTTAGGAAGCTTCCTCTAGGAAGCTGTTACTACAGTGGAAAGGCACCTAAAGGCACCTTGTAATGCCTCAGCTGTTTGCTAAATATAGCCTTAAGCCAACACTATTCACTTCAGCTTAAATTTTTCCACTGAGATTACTGACAAGAACAGTAGTCAGGAATTATGCTGCTATCAGCAGGGGGACTATAAGGAAAGTCCCATTGCTATTCTATGGATGTACAAAGCCTTCCACAATGACACATGAGAGCAGGCTCCTTAATCCCATGACAGAATCAATTTTATGCAGCTGTAAACCAAAAATAGAGTTGTAGGATTCAAGAAGCCTGGTGAGGCAGCTGATGTATTGTGAGAAGTGCGTGCTTCTTTCCTAGAGGGATACATTCCAAAGCTCTGTCATGAATTAACTCAGTAAATCACATTTTTTCTTTTCAAGAGAGATGTTCCATGTGACATGAACAATTAACTTTCTGATAATCTTCAAAGTTTCTCCCCTGCACCCCTCTTTTTTGTGTTTGTGGTTTGTTGGTGTTTGTTTGGGTTTTTCTTTTAACTTTTTGTCTGACTTACTTGCAGAAAAAGAGATAAGTTCAGAAATGAGGCATGTTTGATTTGATTTCAAATTGACTGGGAAAATTTACATGTAAGAGACCATTTAAAATAACAATTTTGGCCAAAATTTGCATTTTGTTCTTCATACAAAACCACACAAAACTGTATTTACCAAACCAGAAATCTTCTCATGTTGATATAAGGACATTAAGATTTTTATTTTTACATTTCCTATGTCTTAATTTACTCAACTATTCATCATAAAGTCTTTCAAGGAGACAAATTAAAGAAGTGTTCCTACACAGCCAAAAATTAGTAAGACTGCATCCACTGCTAATAAGCCTTGGAATCAGGCAATCATGGAATGATTCAGGCTTGAAGGATCTCATCATCATGTTTGACCTTCTGCTCAAAGAGTCCAAGAAAGAGATTCTTGAACCAGAATTATTAGTGTTCATAATTTAGAACCTTTTCTCACTTTTGCTGCCTTAGTGTTGCTACTAAGTACTAAATTATTTTAATAGTGTAATGACTACAGAGAATGAAGCAGAGAACAAAATGATTTCAGAAATGACAAAATAACAGAAAAATCTTCAAGGAGCCAAGAGATGAAAGAATCCTAAATTCTTACCTTGCTGAGTTCAATATACTTCTTTGCTTCTCCACTTGCACAGGTTGCAGATGTTTTTTTACTGAGCAAAGCTGCTTTACAGCCTTTGATTTTAAGGGAATGGTATGGAGGAACAAGTGAACCAGTTTGTGTCAGTTTGGACTGGAACAATTGATTGATGACCACATTTTCACTAGCTGGAAAAAAAAAATAAATGCATGAAGGTAAAATATAAGTTAGAAAATTATATATATTGTACACGTCAGTAAAAAGACACTAGGAGAGAATTTAAAAAGTAAACCTAAAGCAAATGAACAAATCAAAAAATGAGCATTATCAAAGTAACCAAAGAAAATTCAGTATCTGAAAATAGTAACACTATTTTTAACATAGTTAGGTTCTGTGTCAAACAAATAGAGGGCATAAACCAAAACCTTTCACACTAACCTGTCTAAACTTAATTACTTATGGGATCATCACCTCTGAATTTTGTTCCATTACAGATTCTCAATTTATCCATCTATTAAAGCAGTGTAAGAGATGAGTCCTGCACACTTTCCTAACATGTAGTATTTAGAAACAATCAAGGCACTTGACAGAAATAAATTATAGACACTCGTTGCACAAAAGGGGTATATATATACAAAATATGAGAAGGGATTTTAAAAAAAGGCAAGGCAAAGGACAGAATTGTAGAAAATTTGGTTTCTCCACATTAAGAACACACTTAAAAACATTCACAGAAAAAAAGACAATGCCATACATATATATTATTACTTCTACAAAATAAATATACTTCCAAGAGGTGCTTTTTTTAAAAAAAATCTGAATTTTATGACAGATAGTATACTTTATCCTAATTTCAGTCTTTATGAATTTGTGGGCATAGGGTTTTTAAGATGACCATGATAATTACATGCTGCTTGTACTGCCACAGCACCAATAAGTGTTAAGAACTTGTTGTGTGATACATCCTTAACCTTAATGCTGAATTCTTGTTAAATTTTTCTTTTTTAAAGAACTAGAAAATGGCATTGTGATCCCTCCATCATGTGAATAAACAAAAACCGAGAAAGATGAATGGGATAAGCATCATAAATAATAGCTTAGCATAGCAGGTAAAAATCTTCAGTTTGCTCTTAAATAACTGTTTACAGATTTCTTACTATATGATAAGTACAATAGATTTGTCCCCCTTTTTCTGTGGAGATTACTATTCCTTACTTAACAAGAACATTAAAATTATGAGGAAGATATGGAAGCAGATAATTGAAATTATTTCAGCACAATCAGTGAGCATCAACAAGCATATGTTTAAAATGCAGTAAGTAGGATTAGGACAGGCACAGAAATTACGTGTTTCAAATTAAAACAGATACATCCTAAGTCAATAGTCTCTTCTGATGATTTTCCAGCAGGTAAGTTCCACATTCCTACACATATATACAAATTAGTTTAATGTTATTATAGTTTAAAGTTTTGATTGAGGAAACAAAATTCCATGAAAATCAAAGAAAGCATTGCACTGAAGTTATACACCTACACAACTTATGAAACTAACTCTAAAGGAAATATGTCACTGACAATCAATAGGTTTTAAGCCTAAGTCACTTTAAAAAGGAGGAACTTAGCCCTTAAATGACTTATATGTTGGTAAATATTCTGCTTGCAGGATTTTTCCATTTTTCCATTACTTATAATTGTTATTCTTATGACTCCTCAGTTGTATATATACTCATCCTCATCATAGTAAACTTTTTATATCCAATCCAGTCCTCCATTGCTGCCTTTTAACAGTTGCATAGCCAATTACACAAAATAGCAATGAAAGTGCCAAAAAGGACTGTGTGAGAGAATGGAAGAATGCTCTCTCTCATCGAACATACTGGAAGTTGTCATACATTCTCTTTGGAGATTATCATGTATATTCCATGTATCTCTAAACTACAATCAATAGGCTTATATTCGAGATAATTTATTCATTTCTTTCTTCATTTGCAATGTCCACTTCTTGTGTCTAACATGCATCAATTATTTTACTAGGGAGCTTGGCTAATTTTAAAATTGCTAAAATGCAATACATCTTAATAGTAGGCTTCTATTTCTAAGGAAAGAAATACAAGTATATAATATATTAAGTGAAAAACACTAGTGGATGGAGAACAGACAAATGACACCTAAGGGTGCACTGGCACTTCCCTGAGGAAAATGTTTTGGTTTTCCTCTCCAGAAAGGGGAAATGATAATGGCTTTCATTAATCCAATAATGAATCATTAATTATGATTCATTAATTAATTGGTTTCCTTATTTTTATTAGGCATAATTATACAATATGCACACTGAAAGGCACTTAATTTTGCATTTCAATGGACATTTATATCTATTCACTGAAAAACATAAGAACACCCACAAGTTACTGCTTTTAGAAGGGTACTCAAGCTGTGGAGCACATCCCAGTGCAGCCTCTATGATTTTGGGAGCCAAATTTCCTTCCTCTCTTTTCTGAGTTTTATTTTGGCTTTAGTTCATACTCATCATCTTCTGTAAGTCATTCTCACACATCATATTACACCTTGTTCTTTACATCACATCACATGATAAAGATGCTTTATGTTCATGAATCTAAAAGCTTTTAAATTCGAGAAAATTTCAAGCAATACTGTATGTAAGTACTTTATAAAGATGAGGGTGACTTTTTTTTACTGGAAATATATATAAATGTCTTTTAAAACTAAAATGAAAATTAAGATCAAGTCATAATATCTTGATTTCTAACAACAGAAATCACAAAAGCATTTACTTACTTTTCATTACAAATATGAGATTTTGTGAAAGGGAATCTTTATTTTTTTCTATCGCACCAGCAATTTCATATGTAACCTATAATAAAATATTGTGACATCATTAGTAATGACCAATGCATCTTTTAAACATCTTACAGCAGTAGAAAAGAAACTATGTTTTTTCCCCACTCAACAATTAAAGGCTGGCACCAGGAACTATCTTTTGCCATTTTCTAAGTGCCTACAATGCTGACCAGAATAACTGGTCATTTCCACAATGCAAGACTTTGAATCAAGTATGTACTGTGAAGCAGGAGACACTGACCTAAACAACACTTTCCCTGTAGGATAAACAAGTTGCTCCCAGGTCACAGATCTTGTCAATTGGAAAACTGTCCCCACTAACCATGACAAAGCAATCTGAGTCCAAACTCACATTCAGGACAAGTTCCAACCATTGATATATCCTTTGGAGGTAACTTCAGTCAATAGGTTATACACAAATCCCATTTACATTTCTAACAACTACACCCATAAGGACTTTGGGTCACCTCGGTTGCCTGATGTGTGATTTCAATAATAGACAGCTGGATTGCCCCTGCATCTGTCATCTGATTGCAGACAAATTCTAACACATGTGGTAGACACTCTAAAAATTGAGTAAAACCCAAGTTCTAGCCAGAGGTGCTGGGGGTACATCCAAAATGAAGAAATACAGCCAAATATCTCTTTTAATATTGAGCCTATCCCTGAAGACGTATAGAAAAGGAGCACTAAGACAAGAAAGCAGGTTTTTTTTTGTTTTTTTAAAACTCTGTATGGTGATGGAAGAAAAACAACTAGTTATTTTACAGACTTTAGATATAAGAAGCTCTGGCTTGCACAGTAGTAGAACCCAAAGGGAATTTTTAAGTTAAAAAGAAAGAAAATTACACATTTCAGTACTTGCATGATTAGGTAGATATTAATGGGTTTGGTTTTATTTACCTGGGGACCATGTTTCTATCTAAAGCCTTCTTTAATTTTTTGTATTTGATCTATACCCTAAACCCCTTAGGTGTTTGGGGAAATTTCATCCTTGCACATTTAATAAAGCCATAAATATATAATTAAGATTAGTAACACTAATCAGTGCATTAATTTTCCATTGGGTCATTTGACAATTATGCAATGCTATCTTGCTCACAAAAGAAATTATGTGACTTGGAAGTGTATAATCCGTTAGAGTGAGTAATTGTCAAATGATGTAATTACTATGGTGTCTGACATGAACAAGATATAACAAGAGAATTATGGTTCTTTTCCATGACAGATGCAATGTTATATATTTTCTAATTACATTTCCTAAGAACATACAACACAGTTAGCAAACTATTAGAACACTTTAAGTATACTATTAAATGCTTTTAGCGTACTCAACATAAATGTTGTGCTATGTTGGTCCATAAAAGGAAATTAACAGAACTTATATGACAAACCATAATGCCAGTTCCTAATTAAGTGTCTTGGGCTTTGACTAAATTAGAAGAAGAGAATTAGTATTGGTGGGAAGAGTAGGTAAGTATAACAGTGGGAGATACAATATTATGCTTAACTGCCTAGATTGAAACTGGGAGAAGTTTCAGTATTGATGCTGGTACAATACATCACAAACTTCTAGAACTATATTCATAAGACATATTTCATATCACATAAAACAGATAAAAGTTAAGAGGATTCCCTTTTATGAAGAAATTTCTAACACTCTAAACAATTTTCCCATAGACTTGGTAAATTAATTCACTGCCTAAAGACATGAAAACTGACTCAATTAAATGATACTCTAGGGTTCCATAGTCATTGCCAGTCCCACAAAATAGAAAAAGAAATAAGTCCCCTTTCCACTGCCAATTCTGTTGATTTAATCTTGCCCTCATCAGAGATGGCAAACTACGTGCCCCCCACAGCACATATATTTCCCTAAGTTTTCTTCCACTTTGTTTGTAAAATAAACCTGGCCCAAACTCTGCACTGGATGGCACTCAAGCACAGTGGGTAGTTATTCTGGGGAGACAAAAGCCAAGCAAATACTGTATGCTTTAGACAGGAAATGTGCAATCACTTAGATAATGGGTCCAGTATTATAAAACATAGTCTTTATTGTCACTTCTATTTATCTTGCTTTATATGATGACTGTTTGGGGTAGACAGTATGTAAACCTATATGTCTCTGCTAACCAAAAGAAACAAGACTTTTAAATAGTATCTGAATAGCTGAACTATTTTTATTATTAAAAAAAAAAAGGTGTACCATTCCACACTACATTTTATTTCATTGTAATAAATTAAAACAAAATGGAAAGTTGCAATGGGTATGGCCAAATATTCATCTAGTCCTGAATATTTAGGGAAAACTATTGAGAAGTATTTCCTCTCTGCCAGTCACCAGCTCCTTTCTCAGCTTTCAGAGCTCTGCCCATCAAGGCACTCTTGTCTTGCAGGTTGTATTTCACCCTTGTGTTTCCTATCTCTTGACTTGCAGTTCCTCCTCAAATCTCTGTTTCCAGATCTCATTAACATTTCCAGCATCTTTTAAGACTCTGTATCAAGGAGCTTCACTAATTACTAAGTATGAGAAAAAAAACCCCACCCTAATTTTATTTTTGAACCTGTGTTCTGCTCATTTATGTTAGCACAGCTGGTTTTAATACCATAAGAACTACCAGGTAGAAGTAAGAGGTAAAACACCCAGGAAACAGGAGACTCACCAGATATGAACAGAGCTGACTTTGGGAATTGCATATTCCTCCTATCTTTTTATATACTCTTGCCTCTTTGCTTCATTAATTATCTTCATGCCAGAAAATCAGAAGACTGTATATATTTTCTTCTGAACTAAAGTATTCTTTCTCATAACATCTGACTTGCTTAAGCGATTTTCTCCAAGTTTTTTGGATATCCCAGTATAATTTACCAACAGGACCATCTTTACACAAAGTTTTCATCAATTCCTTAAAATACTTTTTTTTTTTTTGTAAATAATTTTCATATATTGAAAATGGCAGGTTTGGCAGGAACCCTAAAACAAGCTAGGAAAATGCCACCTGGAATATTAAGAACAATTTGGCTGCATTCCCAGTTAGAAATGAAAATTTTTCAATTTTAATAGCAAAATGTAACTGAGAAAACTCAGTTTTGCCTGTGTGGCAAATTTTAGTTAATAAGAAAATAATTAGTTCATGTAGAAAAAGAGAAATTTTTGAGAACATGTCCAAGGACAATTTAGTGAGAGACACTTGTAGCTGCTAATTTTCTGCCAGTACTTGAATGTGAGTGATATGCTTGCATGTATAATTTTTTAAGGATCACTGGGTTTATCAACCTCCCAAAACAAGTCTTGTTAAGCAATGAATGAGATAAATAATTTTATAGTCTGTAAAGTCTTATTCTAACATTGTGATAGAATAGCATTTTGAAAGAAGGAAGCATTTAGAAACAAAATAGATGGGTGGGGGAAAGTGTTTTATCATTTTCTCCAGTAAGTGAAAATCCTAAATCAAGACTAATTAAATAAAGAAAGAGTGAGAGAAAGGGAGAAAAAGCAAGACTGTCTTGCCTGTGTGAAATCCAGAATCTATGTCAAGCAGCCTTTATAGGCCTTGATACAGTTTAGATTAGATTTGATTTGATTGTTGTGTCTGGGGATTCAGCCTGGGGAAAAAATAGTGAAAATGAAAGCATCCTTATTGATTAATCCACCTCCTTTTGTCTTTTGATTTAGAGGTTCAGTTTCAGAGTCTGCCTGGGATTTCAAGGCATTTCAGAGAAGACTGCCTTGGTGAAGAGGAGCCGACAGCTGAGGTATTTTTGATATGCAGGTAGCTGAGAAAGACATTGATCTGCACTTAAAGGAGCATTATGTGCACTGGTTTACAGAGCAAAGGAGTTGATCTTCAGGTCTGGTCGGTTTATTACAGTACAGAAAGTCAAAACAGTGGAAAGGTAAACAGTGACAAGGGGCTTATCTAATTTGTAAATTCAAGTTTAATTTAAACAGTAGAAAGCTTAAATTATAATAACATATTATTCAGATCACATGAACAATGGGGCAAATAGCTCATTATCTCAAATACTGTTATGTTAAATACCACTATTAGATAAAGCTGTGTCTCTTGGCACTGTGCTAAGACAATATATTTCTGATTTACTTATTGATATGTTAATTCTTCCAGAAAATTTTAAAAAATAAAGGACTTTGAGTCCTTGAGAAAGTTCAATGATGGAAATGTTATTCTTCAAAAATCATGGCTTTTGATATGTCCAACAGTTCAAAGATAAAATTCATGTGAAGCCCTTCCTTAAGAGAGAGTCCACAATGTAAATATTAATGTTATCAATAAATGAAGCTAGAAATTCAGTATTACAGATTCTTAGGATAGTTTCAGCTGATGGTCAGATGCATCCATAAAACACTTTGCTACCTCCAGGCAAGCTTGCAAGGTGTAGCGTGTGCCTCTTCCCCCACAGAGTCTCTGGGAGAAGTATCTTAGGATACCCACAGTCATATCAGAAACAGGCATCAGAAACAAAGCAATACCCCAGATGAGCAGAAATTTTCTGGAAGAAATCAGACTGCAAGGATTCATAGAAATGTGTTAAACAACCTTCAGATAAAGCCTTTCACTAGGATTATTTTTTTCTTCAGTCATAAAACCCCTAAATCATTCTCTTCTACCTTCTGCCTGAACAAAACAGATAAGCCTTTTGTCTTACAGCATTCAGATATCAAGACATTAAACAGCTCATAGAAAAGACTCATAATGTGTCAAGGCATTGTAGGATTCTGTTCAGCTGTAAAATTAAAACTAGGAGATAAAGTAAAATACTTGATATGATAAAGCACTGATGCTCACAGTGGCCTTTCCTAAGCATGTGTTCATGTGTGTTCACAAGCAATATATCATATTGCCCATGCAGAAAAAGACAGATTTAATCTTGTTCCGGAATAATAGCAAAATTCAAAAGAAATGAGGTAAAATTAATTTTCTCTCTTCCACTGGATCATTCTGTCCCATTTGTGTAAAAAATTATTCATTCTCAGATTCCACTAAAATATCTGGGCTCTGTGCTGATTCCTTCCATGCACAGAAGTTAACTTGTGCATATTGTCCCTCTTTCTTCCCTCCAAAACAGACGAAAAAAAAAATCCAAGGTCTCTCAGAATGGTATCATACATGCAGAATTCCTTGAAGTATTGATTCAGCCAGAAAAATTAAGTATGGATTCCAAATTATTTGGGCTTCTTTTCCCCATTACAAGCTAATTTGATCCTCCTGTGCATTCTTTGTCTCAATTCAACATTGTGCTTTCTTTCTTTTACTTCTGACCCATTCTCTCTTCTCTTTTGCTCTTAGTACTGCTTTTTCTGGGATAGTTTAAGGCTCATTATGCTTGGATCAATAATTCAGTATATTTAGTCTTAGGAAAAGTTGCTGAGTGCGAAACTTAGGGGAATGGGCAAAACCTGCCAATTCATGGCACATTCAATTAAAAAGACCTGATAGTGGAAGACAATTTTTCTACCTGTATCCTGACACAAAATTTCACCAAATAAAAACATCCTTAGAAGTCTTTAAAACTGCACAGATGCATCTCTATCATCTGTAATTATCTCAGAATATAAAGCTACATATATCTCTTTTGTTCACAAAAAGTTGTCTGTCAATCTCAGTTAAATACACAAAAGTAGGTCTTTTCAGTGAGGAAGTATTTTTAATAACTACCTTTTCCAGTTTAACTGCATTTCTAACTTGCTAAAATAGCTACTGCAAGTGTCTGAGTAAAGAAATGAACCTAATTCATTTTTTTGGACTTTGACCTCCATCCATACATTATTGATGGAAAGAAGCCCAAATTACAAGGGCTATAAGTGGCTCATACCAGGGCCAACACAGAATATTAACACTTTTTTTTTTTAATGACACAGACACTGGCTGTGAAGTACATTGCAGTTACAACTGTTACTTAGAGAAATCAGGATGTCTGACTTCATGTTCTAACACAGAGACTGCTACATTCAGTGTGACTTCCTCTTAAACTGTGAGCCTAGACACACCACCTGAACATAAATGATGAACACTAGAAATGAAAACTTTCATGTTTGATTACCTGTCACAATTTACTGGTAATTCTTTCTCTACCCTCTGTGTCTGATTCATCTTTCAGTCATACTCATATAAATACAGAAAAGCTTTACCAAGTTAAAGGAGTAAAAATCCGTGAAAAATTGTAATGACAATAAAATTAAGCCCCTTGTCTTAAATTTGGAGATCTCTGAAAGCAACAATCAAGGGTAAGATTACCTTATACTTCACTTACATTAGACCCATTTAATTGATATCAGACTATAAAAATGGGTCTCAAAACCTGCCGAACTATATTGATACTTTATATATTAAATTCTTATTTTTGAGTGCCAAAAAATCTTGACATATTTAAAAGCCTCATCCTTTAAAAATTTTCATAAAGCATATATCACCAATAACTTCTATAAAAAGCTACTAAATGTAGTAAGCGCAATCTAAAGAACAGCATCAGCAGTTTTAAAATCTGAGTTTTTCATATTCAGGAGCTCAACATATGAGGCATAATAGTCTCAGAATAAACTCAATTTGTGTCATTAATGCAGCCACATTATTATCAAAGTTTTGTATAAATACATATAATAAAATCCTGGAAATTTCAGTCTATGATAGCTAGGTAACAGTCCCACAGGATACCAAAAATGCAAGTGTCTGTAAGGATTTAGCTCAGTTACTATTAAAGCAAGGAGAATTAAGCAGTTGCAAGAGGACTTTTCTGTTTTGGCAGGGCTAAGCATTTTACTGTTGTAAGGATGCAAAGGAGAACCTGACTGGAATAGTTCCTCGGCCAATGTAAATCAAAGGATCTCCACTGACTTCAAAAGAATGTGTAGATTTACATTACTTGGAGAGCTGTCTATTTGTTCATGCTTTCAGATTAAATGTCATTACTATTATTAGGAAAAGGTCAAACCAAGTGTCTATGTTCTAAAACAAAAATCTAAACAACCATGCAAGGCTAAAACACATGTTAATGAAAAGTGTCCTCTTTACCACTCACAGTTTAACTTGCAGAGCTAGGCACCTGAAATACTGGTTTTAACAAATCTTCTGAATGCTTCTTCAGAGAATAAGACAAAAAATTGTTTCATTTTGAAGAAATTAGCTTATAATTCTGATTGTGATTTTAATGAAGATGCCTTGCTGCTGTTTCCATGTCAAGTTTTGGGGTGTGGAACCTTTTTTGAGATCTTCTAATAAATTTAAACAGAAAGGCATTAAAAATACTTACGTAGCAAGCATAAAAAAAGTTCATAAATTAAATTAGACATCTGAAGTTCATGGTCTGTTCTTTATTCAATCACTTGAAGTCCTAGTAAGTTTCACAAAATTTTGGTTGTACTGTTATCTAACCACTGTGTGTCCACATTCCTACTGACAAGTCCCAAAAGTGGAGGTATTCAAACCACTGAACTTTGGCAAGTAATTTGATTCTAAGTAGAAGGCCTTGTGATGAAAGAAGATCCTTAAGGGAGTTATTTAGAGTATTTGGGTTAGGAACTTAAGCACTACTCAAATAGTCCTTTCCATAATGACCACATTTCTATCATTGGGCAGGAACAAATTTGCTTGTGTCAAAACCCAACTCAGGACTTCCATCAGCTTCATTTCCAAATGGGGAGCCACAAAATAGATCTGTCCCTACTTATACCACTGTCAGATTATTTAAAAAAAAAAATACTATCCCTTTAAACACGTATCTAACTTGCTTGCTTGCCTTGTACGTGGTTGTGGGGACAATGTGAAAATGAAGTGTTGGAAAGGAAAGGGTAAGAAGCTTATTTAAAAGAACTGATTACATTATTCCTGTGAACACTGTGTGCAGGCAGGGGAGTAAGAAAATACTGATCTAATTTTACAGTCATGCTGAAAGACATTTGGCATATTCTGGGGTCTTTGCAGGGAAAAAAGTATTATGACTACTAACAGAAAAAGTGGGGGGTTTTGTTTTTGATTTTTTTACCAGATTCATTCTGGTAACCCAGGTATCTACATATATAGCTACAGGAACCTGTACTGTTCTGGAATCACATCTGTATGCAAAGTGTAGCTAACTAAAATGGCATTAAACATTTATGCTGAGAGATCTGAATCACCTCCTTCTACATTAAATGCTTACAGGGAAGAAAAAATTTAGAGCTAGAACTAGGTAGCCCATATCCTGAATGCTGTGATGTAAGCTACACATTTCATACGCTAGATATGGCACTGAGATTCTAACTTGTCCTCTGAAAATTTATCACTTGAAAACGTGAAATCATATTTGTAGCCACAGTTGGAGAAGCCATATAAAATTTTGTTTTGTTAACTTTTTTCATTTACTGCATGTAAATGATATTCAAACAACTTACCCTTCCAGCATAGTGCATAACAGTGAAGGTAGAGCCCAGATCCTTTGGGGCAAGGTTACCATTTCCATCTTTTGTGGAGGAATAGACTGTATTTGTATCTGATGTGTCCAGGTAAGACTGAATCCGTTTAGAAAGACTCTGTTCCACTGACCAAACAGATTGGCTTTCTTCATCCAGCATTGACAAAAAACCTGATGGTTTCTGAAATGAAAAACAGATTTTTCTCATTTTATACATGAGAGCTAGAATTTCAGTTGTTCCATATAGATTAACACTGCTTGTAATTTAGTAAAAGAAACATATATCACACTAAAAAAACAGGAAAAATAAAAAAGATGAAAATATTTTGTTAAGTGTTCAAGGCTGGTCCTTCTATAAGAAATGTAGGGAACAGTATTTCAGTTGCCAAAAATGGCCACTATTGACGATCTGTTAGAAACTGATTGTGTTACTTGCTTCTTAAAAGTTCTCCAGAAATTAACTTCGGTCACTAAAGAACCTGTCAGGCCACGACAGAGCCTCGTCAGTGCCATGGCAGCACAGTCACCATGCCACGATGCACGGATGCTACACAGGGCTCGGTGCAGGCAGGGAGATCCTGCTGCCTCTTCCTCAGCCTGTTCTGTCAGTAAGCTCTGGCAGCCACTGAGCTGTGGCCTCTTTGACCCATAACCTTGTCTGAAGATTCATAAATTGTAAAAAGCAAGCAAAAGCTTGTATTAGCCTAACATGCACAGACTGTGTATAAATATAGGTGGTGTAAAATGGATCTGGAAACTACCTGAAAGAAAAAATCCAAGACTGCAGTATGGTTACCAGGAGAATACATCGTTTCCATGGCAACCCCCTCTTGTACACATTCTGCTTGCTCTTGTAGGAAAAGCACTTCATTGATGTACTGGTGTATCTTCTCATTGGTCATGTTGACACACAGCTATTGTAAAATGAAGAAAAAATTAGTATTAGACGTTTACTGGATAATTCATCAATGTAGGTTTTACTGCATGTCTAATATCGAATTTGAAGAGTTGTCAATCCACAATATGGTATGTCTTGGTAGACCATAGATTTAGGAAGACCCTAGGGATTTAGATTTTAACAACTATAACTATTAAATTGGGAATACACAGTTAGCAAATATCGGCATTATCAAATACAGTGGAATTTACACTAATTCCATTGAATGAAGAAGGGTAACTCTACATATAATTTGGTATATTTAATATTCTTCTGCATTTTATATTCAGGAAGGTCATACAAACACAATGTGGTTTTAGGGAAAAAAACCCCTACATATTTGTTTAAGATCCTGAGTCTGTAGTTAGTTCAGTGCTAACAGAGACAAAACTCTTTTTCCACATATAATGTCACTGAAATCTAAAGCAGGCTCTGAAGAGCTCATTGTGTTTTACCAAGCATATAAAACACCTAAAGACATTTTACTAGTTGCTGCTCTCCATTTTATACATATTCTAAGGGAATGTTGGAAGAAAATGGTGTTCCATAGAAAAGTTCAATGTTTGAAGGGATAAATAATGTAGAAGCTTCTAAACTATTTTCTTTGGTTGCCTTACAGGATGTAAAACTAAACAGAGTCACAGAAATCTGATTTTCAATTAAAAACAGCTGGGAATTATATCAGCTTATTTGTGTGCTTTTGTATTTTATTCAAAGCTCACCTGCTAAAATAAGTAAATATTTAAGAACCTTGTGGAATAAATGATTTAACTGTTTTTTTGATCTTCAAATGGAAATTTTAGTTGAAAATTTGAAAACCTTGTGCAATGCTACATTAACTATGACTAAGAAATTAAGAAAACAGAAATTCCTGAAAGGATGTAAGAACACTTATTACGAGGAATGATACAAGGAAAGTCTCCATGCATTTTCTTTTCAGTCTTAACTAGTCACACATTTGTTTTGGCCACCCATTAATTATATCTGCTGTGAATAAAGTGTGCAAAAGCAATTCTATCAGCAAGTCATATTAAAAGGTATGAAATATTTAGATCGATCCTAAAATTACATGGCTTAACATCCAGATGAGGGAAGAGAATCCAAGTAATGTGTAAGAGTTGCCTGAAATTTCCATTAACACCTCCTGTTAGTATAACCAACTTGTACTTGCTATACAATAAAATAGACTAGTGTGAAAAACAGCAAGAAGAAATGAGATCAAAGCTCATAAACCAAATGTCTTTACTAATGTATGACAGTGCAGATAAAAGACAGCCTTGAATAAAAACAATACTTCTTTAGTGGGATCTATAAACATTCATATTGTCATTTTATTAACAACAGAAGTGTACAGCTGACTTCCAGTATCTACTTATTTTATGGAAAAGACAGCTTTTTTAACTCTGTAGCAGGCAAAATGTGCTTTACTGATCACTTCTGGAATTCAATTACAGAATCTTTCCAGAAGCTTGTTAACATTGTTTTATAGGGCAGACAAGCTTACACTTTGCAGAATGTGGTAAAGCCTTAAAATGATGCATGCTGTATATACCTTTATTTGCAGATGACTTATTTAGAGAATCAGGTCATTCAACTTTTTAAAGGTGTATTTTACAACAAGAAAATCTGTCAAACTCCCTATAAACTCAAGCTTGCTTTTTATCATGAGCCAATCTCTTAAAATGCAATTTAAAAAAAAAAGGTATTTCAGAGTTTGACTGTTCAGCAAAATTATTGAACTACACAACTTGAGAGGAAGGAAAGATTGTCTTAGACACGTCTTACATAGATCTGATAAGCAGCACTGGTTTTAAGTAGCAAAATAAAAGGAACAGCACGTTGTTAAAGCATTCATACGTAGCATGCTTAGATGGTAAAAAAAACCCCAAATTTTTAAATTCTACCGACCAGTACATTTGTAGTGAAGCACACAGCACTGGGGTGCTTCTTAGCAACATAAACAACACTGTCACCCAGACTGGCAGACTTGTCACAGTGCCACAAGGTACTGCAGAGCAGAAAGCAGCTCGAGCACTTTGTACAGTGCAACCTGCTCCAAAGCTGCTCTCTAGAGAGAACAGCCCAGCAGAACCAGGACACCAGCCAGGGACTGCTGGAAAGCAACACATTCTGATCGGATCTTTCTCCATTTCAGTGCTTTATACACCCTGCTGGGAAAAGGTAGTAAAATGAATGTTTTAAATTAAAATCTTGACACTGGTTGACATAATAGTTAAAGCAGCTGAAATGTAGAAATGGGATTAATATGAACTAAACTAGCTTTGCAAACTAGTATTACTAGTACTATGGGATAAAAAAGGGTTCTAGTGTGGAAAAGTAAAATGTCAATTAAATGTTGTTGTGCAGTATTTCACCAATCTATCACAAGCTGAACTGAGCTGGGAATCTCAATTTGAGATAAATTATTTTATTTCTGGCTACAAGATGTCTACTGTAAAAGAATTTTTTAAAAATTATTTTAATGTCAGTACATGATAAGCCAGCTTTAAAGTCAAGTAACACTGTTTTTCCAGTGCCTGACTGGAACACTAGACAGATAATAGTGCCCTGCATAAATGGAAAGAAATGCACTGGGAAGACCAAAGAGACTTAGAGGGAAGAGAGAGGAGTACACACTGATAAAGGCCATAAAGAGTGGAAGATCTTCAGGAGTGAGGGAGAAAGTAAAACACAGGATCACCAGGCCCCTGAGGGAAGGAATAGGCTTTTACAGCCCTGATCAGCTTTTCCTGGGGCCCCCACCCACTCCTTTTCCCAGTCATCTCAGGTGATGCCATGGCAGTGCCAGCTTCCAGCTCTTTCTCCAACTGCCTGTGCCAGGGTCCCAGCCCTATTTGGCTGCTTGCCATGTCAGGGCTGCTAATGGGCACTGTCACCAGCCCTGGCTCTCCAGGATGCTGCCCATCAGGGAGGGCATTCCCATCCTCTGGGTCATCCTGTTGCCTGGCTCCCTGGTGCCAAGGATCACCTGGCTCTCGCTGCTCCACAACAAGGTTGTTAAAACCTTCCTATGCATGGAGGTTGGCAAAACTCTGACTTAAAAATACCATGTCATATTTCCTTGTTAAAGACTGACTTAACATGGTAAGCACTTTCCATCATCCTATGGGTAATAAGGAATACTCCAGCACTGAGAACTGCAGTGGAAGATTCTGCATTAAGTCGCTGCATAGTAGCAGAACTCAGTGTGCACCAGCAGCTGCCTATTCCACAGAGACTCACAGGAACCTCTATCTATGTTCTGCATGGGAAAAACCAAAGAAGGTTGATTTCTTCTGCATAAAAAATAATCTTGAAATGCTCTTTCAGACTGTCCAAATGTAAAAATCTGTGTGTGACCTCCTATTTACTATCACTGAGACTGCAATGACTGTAGAAAAGTCACATCATGTAACTTCTGTCTATTCATATCCATCCATCTCCAAAATAGGCAACATGACCTTACATTCAGACAGCTAGAAGCAGTCTCATGGTTGAGACAATGCAATTTAATATAAAATAATCTGTTATTGTTGTTTTGGCTAAGAAATAATATGTGACAAAAATGTAGCATCAACAAATTTAACCATAGAAATAACACGCTGAGAAGTTAAAATCTACCACACCTAATAATAAAAATAGGTGAAAATTCCAACATATCTGGGTTCTATGACCTCTTCTGCTTCTCCATAGTGACTGAAGTAGAGTTCTGAGTGGGGCAGGCAATGCTCTCTGCTCTCGTAGCCAGCTGGCTCCTGTTTCAGGAGATGAGCTACAAAGAGCTGCCATGGAAGCTGTGCCTCTCCCAGAGTTATACTGCATCACACAGATAATTTACATGTACTTTAATGGGGATGGAGTTGAATAGGAGTCAAGAGATACTTGACCATTCCAGCAACCTGCAGTACTAATTCAGATAAATCACTTATATTTCCTATAAAAAGGATAATATGTACATACTTTCTACTGCAAAACTTGAGGCCTACAGACGTAAAATACCATGCAAGAGTTAAACACATAATTTTACAAGAACTAAATACTTCCTTCAGTTTCCCATTTAAATTATATATCAGGCAGAAAAGAACATTGTCCATTTACCTTTATTGCATTATTGTTCTTTATGATGACTCTACAACTACAGACTCATTTCTGTTGGAAGACCTGACTTTCTGCAGAGGGAAGAAAAGCTCCTCGTACTACTCTAAGGTCTTGTTCTTCTGCTATAATACAGGTTTTTTTACAAACAGCAGAGGGAAAATGGTTCAGGTAACTATCCGTCCTGCTTATTTCCTGTTATATTCATTGGTCATGAGTTTGTGGTCAAAAATACACTATCCTGAGTATGAAGGTTGTGGCATTCCTTCACAGTACTATTTGGAGTTGTTCTGTGAAGGTCTAGCCTAGTTTTAAATTCTACTCGAAGACAAGCAGACATCTTCTGGATTTAAAAGGGTGCAGAATAAACTGTAAACAAATACAGTCTCTCATAAACAGGGAAGCCTGAGAAAACATTGTATTAACACTGGAAACTGCCATTGATATTTTTGGTAGAGCACTCATATTTCCTGAATTGACCACAAAATGAAGGCCATTTCTCTAGAGAATAGGAAAGAGAAATTGGGCTCACTTCTGACCACATTCCAGTGTGGTGGTACACAAAGCTCTTCTGGCACAGCAGGTATGCAGCTGCTCCAGGAAAATGCTGTTCCCAAGCTAATGATCACTGCTAGGAAGTGATTGTAAATTGTTATTAGGGTGAGCTAAAAGTGTACTGTAGTCATTTACCATAGCTCAGCTGACGAGCAGTAAAAGCAGTAACTCACTGAGTCCTGGTAATTCAGAAGCTTTCAGTCTTTATCGAGCAATGACTCCTTCAGACTGTGGCTTCTAAAAAAACCAGCCTTTCAGCTTTTAAATTTGGTACCAAAAATCAAAACTCCCCTCACTATTTCTTATTCCACACACTTATTTACTTTTATTTTAGAATTACATGTCCCATTTTTGCTCTTATAACATTTGACACATATTCTATACAATAAAAGCTTACCAATACGCACCAAGTACAAGGAAAACTGAACACTTAATTAATGTTTTTTAACTTCTAACGCCTTCTTGTTTACAATGGTCTATAAAAGTTTTCTCTCTACAAGCTGTCAGCCACATCATTTTGCCTGCAGAATTTATCAGATTCTTGCTGTAGGCATAATTCATCTTACTTTTCTAGTCGTTTGACAGCTGTCTTCCTTTGCATTGCTCATGAGTTGTTCCTAGACCAATTCTTCATTTCACTTTGATATTTCAGTGCCCTAATGCCTTGTCATTCCAAAACATACACTGGAGTAAACAAGTTATTCTACCCAGTTTATCCATCTCTGTTTGCCTGAATCATCTTCAAACACAGTTTACTAAAACTGATGTGATTTACTATCTTATTGCTCTCTTAATTATGATATTAAACTTAATTATGATCTATACCAGCCTGCTATAAAGCACCAGAAAGATTCAAACAGCTACTTTGAATGTCCCCACTTTTCGGCAACCAGGAGGTTTTAGTTTTTATTGAAAACAGTCATAATTTTTTTTCCAAGAAAGCAGGAAAATAGGTATCACAAAGAATGCCTTATCATACACTAATTTAAAAAAAGGCCCATTTTCCCTAAAATTATTTTAATGCCTTTTAAAAATATGCTAATCTAAATGTGATTAAAAACCTTTTTTTTTTAATGGCCCCACTACTGTCTGGTTGTAACATTTAATGCTAACATTCTGCAATCACAGGCCTTGACACTGGGTGTTTTTGCAGACATGATGCAATGTTTTGCATGAGGACCTTATCTGGACTAACAAGACTTTTTATTGTCAGGGTTAACGAGCCCAGGCAGAACTCTGAACTGGACCAGACTCCTAGAGAGCTCCAGCTTTGAAGTTCGGGCTGTTTGGGGTAAGTCTGCATGATTAGCATGCACCACATGGAGATACAAACTGGTTCTCTTCACTGATACTACAACCTACCACTTCAGGAATCAGATATGCTAATTACATTAAGGACTTCATTTAAAAAACTCTCACTTCAGGTTTTGTCTTTTCAGGAATATTGTTAAATAGATTCTGAGATAATGACTCTGATTATTACTTAATATTATTTTTTAAAAAAGCATTCAGTCCAGGTGAAGGGACAGTAAGCATCTTTTGAAATACATTTATTTAGAAAAAATAAAATAGAAATGAAAATATGATTTTGAAATTATAATGTTTACTACACAGAAATAATAAAATAAATTCCGAAATACATTTATTTAGAAAAAATAAAATAGAAATGAAAATATGATTTTGAAATTATAATGTTTACTACACAGAAATAATAAAATAAATTCCTTTTTACTAATTTTTTTTTTTAGATCCTGTATTTTCTCTTCAAGTATCCTTTTCACTTATTAAGCAGAAAATTACTTACCACAGAAAATAGAATTAATGGTATTTCACGATGTTAAATGTGATCTTTTATGAGTTTCATGACAAAAAAAATGTGGACCAGGGTCAAAGGAAAATAATCAGTAAGTCCCAAGACTTCTCTTTTGAGAAGCATTTAAATTGCATAGAATACTTCATACTTATTAGTCAGAAGGCTCGTGGATTTTTCTTTTATTTCATATACTCAGTCTATTAAAGTATTTTAATTTTACACTTTATATTTTCTCCTGAAGGTGCCATTTGCAATGAGTAAATTACTAGGAATACTGGTACACGTGAATAGTCCTTAATCCAGCAAATGTTCAAGCAAGGTAGAACTGTAACAGCAAAAATAATTTTGTGAGAGAGAAACTGGAATTTATTTTATTGCCTTCTAACATGCTCTTTTGAAGCATGTGCTTTCAAACATTTGGAAACCGGTAGCAATGTAAACATGTCATACAAGCTGTACTGATGTGGCTCTATGACTTCTGTGCCACTAGAAAGAGGAAGCTGAGCCATAAAGCAATGGACTGACTGGGACAAAAGGTAAATCCCAATTTCAAACAATAACAAGTCCTTTGTTGCTGCTGATGCCTTCTCATTTCTTTTCTGTGCTTTGACTTTTCTTTGTATGCTTTGATTTTCTTCCTGCATCACAGAATGAATGAACAACAGCACAACTTAAACACCTCTTTGAGTGTCTTGTGTAGGGTCACTAATGCTTTCTGAAATACGTGATTCACAAGAGCTCTAGTGTTCAGTGATTAATGTTGAAGGTAGTTGAACATATTAAAGAAAGTTTGATATTTAAAAGGACTTTAAAGCATTAAGTGACATAAATTTCAATTTATTTTCCATGGATGCAATTCAATTTTTTGAAAAGTCACATGTTATAAAGTCACACAGAGGTGAATCTGTCAATAATGGCACTTAGCAAAATGCAGCATTTTCATTGTATTTTTTCTCCAAGGCATCTGAAGGCCTTTTGATTATTCTTCCAATTCAGGATATTGTCCTACTCACTGATCTAGTTGAAGTATAAATACCACAAGCATGAAAACAAAAAACACTATTTCCCTCAGGTTGTCTTTCAGTGCTAATACTACCCCTCTTCAAAAATCACGATAGATATTTACTATATTATTTTAAAATTGCCAACAACTGTGCAAAACCCGGCATATAAGTAATACATATATAGGTATAAAGGGAAAAATATTTTAAGAGAAAATTTTCACCTTCATGTATATTTTTATGATGATCAAAACTGGTTAATTAGAGAAACAACAACAGGTACAGTAAATTCAGCAAAGCATCCACACTTGCCTGTTCAAAAGTATTCTTTTGAAATTCTTCAAATCCAAAAATATCTAATACTCCAATTTCAAACACCTGGTCACTGGGGAAAAAAAAAGATATTACAGATAATAAGAATTCAAGCAAGTGAATAATACATCTGTTGTTTCTGACAGAAGTATTTCTGATCTAGGACAAAAGCAGGCTGTATTTCAAAAACATGGATGAAATACACAAGCAGACCATGTACAGAAGAGAATCAAAATTCTACTCACAACCTATTATACTGAACAGAAATAAAAAAGCAGGGGTCAAGATCGCTTTAGCAGCTATGCTAAAAACCAAATTTGTAAGACAAGGAAAATATCTTAACTTCCTAAAGCCCAGTTTCTAAGGATGTAGGTACACATTTTCTGACATCATGGATAACCATCTCGGGGAAGTTTCAAAAATGCCTGGCTGCACTCTGTTATCGTGTCCCATTTATATTTCTTTGGCAGCCAGAATTACTTCTACAGAATTTACTTCAAGGGAAACCTGTTAAGAACAAGTCTCTGTGCCAGCACCTAGTAGAATTTCTGGGCTCAGGCTGCCCAAGAGGTTTCATGTCCCAGGGGAAAAAACAGTCAGGAGTCAGGTCTGAAGAAGGTAGATGTTTCTTCTCTGTATAAATAAAAGAGGAGATGTAGACATTGCATCTATTTTGTCGTGTGTCATTGCGTGCACTCAGGGAAGGGATCTTAGTGTGGCCAGGTGGAAGGAGTGGAAGGATCAAGGTAGAGCAGTCACCTAGGGTTTGGACAAAAAAAATGTGGAAAGGACAGAGGTATTACTATCCTGTACTTGGGACTGAGTAATTTTAAGTCTGATCTAGAGAGGAAGCTAAATTCACTGCAGTGAGCCAAATCAATATTTTGGGATATTCTGTTGCCTACTTTGCAACAATAATATTTCAGGCTTCTTGTTCTGAGATCCTTCCTTTTTTTGGTTTGTTTTTTTTCCTCCCTATTCCATGCTTCCTCTATGTTTAAATCTCTGTGCATATCAGGCTATAGATGTAAAGGAGAAAAAGATGAACCACTGTTGAAGTACATTAATAGTTCCATTGCAGTCATTGTAACCCCTACCATGTCATTAGTTGAGGATCCAGCCCTCAAAATAAATTCCTATATAGCAAACAAACAAAGTAAAATCATTAAAAAAAAAAAATAAAAAGCATATTACAAAACAAGCTGGGAAAAACAATGCTCAGGGGCAAGCAGAGCCTTTTTCAGAAATTATGCCCAAGAAGTTTGTCTTCATTTCAAAAGCACACTAGTTCAATGCACTACTGATTGTCACAGGACTAGCTGTGTGCGTAAATGTCAGACATAGATTGTTACATAATAAATCTCGTCCAGAATGGCTTTCCTGGGCAGGAGAGGTTATCAGGAGGTCGATTAGCCTCCAAGGGAATTTCTACAAGAAAAAGCATAAAGGTATATCACCACCTCCATCTCTAGCAATGAATGCAATATAAATTGGGTTTTAAAATGTAAGCCTCATTTACAACTGCTCCTGATTAGAGATGGGGGGGTGTACATTCCTTATCAGAACAAGTTTCCAACAAAATCTGTCCATTTATAGAAAGAAAAATTCAATGTTTAGAAAACAAACTACCTCTGAGAAAAAAATATTGAAAATCCAGATTATATTAAGTCTTTGGGGGAAAAAGAAGAGAAGCTTGACATTTCAGAATACTTGATAGGTTTTCACTCTTTTATTTATTTTTCTTTTATTTTTTTCCCCATTTATATGTAGCCTTCCTTACAGGAAGGCAAAACATGAACTCCTGTGTAACATTCTACAACAGCTGAAATATTGCATTATATTTCTCAATTTTTAAAAACTACTTAATACAGACAAAACAGCTTATCCCTCCTCTGTCTGATTCAATTAATAATTTGAGACTGGATGTTGTTTACATCCCAGTTGAGTCCATGACTGTTATTTTGTCAAATTAGTCTCTCTTACTTTCCCTCAAGGAATATATAAACATTTGCATTAGGAAAAGACCAATGCAAAGTGACTTAATGAGCCATGCAAAACAGGAACCTGGTCCTAGCTTCCAAAAATCTGGGTAAAAGCCTTAACATCCAGCTTACTGCCCACATCAAACAACATTCCTTATCAAAACTGTGATATTTGTGCAAAATATACTGGCTTGCAGATATACTGGAAATGCATTTGTTTACAGAAAAGCACGAAGTCTCAGTGTTTTTATGAACTCCTCTTGAAAATTTTGGTCTAATATTATTAGGAGATGCACACACCACATTAATAGAGCTGGAGGTTTTACATAATTAATATCTTGCCCACAGGACAAGTATAACAGCACTAGGCTCTGTATCCTCTACAATATTTTACTAGTACATTGTGCTATTGCTATTTATGTGCAAAATCTCTTCAACCATGATAGTAATTTTCTCTATTAAATTATTGCTCAGATTTTGAAAACTGAATAACAACTGACAACACAATATCCAAATTAAAAGCATTGCTTTATATGTGGTTGCAAATTACTTTGTTATTTTAATCTTTTTTCTTGTCTTTCTCTTTTTCATATCACTTTTCTTGCCAGAAGGAGGGTCCATATATGTTTTTACTGGCTAGCTGTCAATCATATTAATTCCAACAAAATTACTTTCCTTAAATAACCATAGCAGAGATTCCCAAGGCAAAATAAAGCATGAATGATTCCATGTTAACAAATGAAAGGGCATGTCACCAGGGTCTAAAAGAACAAATATTAGAAAAAGGAACATTTTTTTCCTGAAAGATTTCCTTTCTTCTTATTTTATGGTAACTAATCATCACTGACACATTTCTTCATTATGTTTCAGATATTTAATATGCACTATGTGTATCTAAAAGAACTATGGTTTTAACTGGGACTGAGAGTGTGAAAATATTTCCTATAACAGAAAACAGAAAAAAAAAAAGAATTTGGTGATGTTTGAAGAATTTTTTATCTCTTATACTAGCACAGAGGTGTAAATACTTTAAAAAAAGCATGTATGTTCACTCTAAGTCATTTTGGTTTTATGATACACAAAACAGCATTTCAGCTTACATATTTTACAATGTCTCCAGCTTTGTTTTTTTTCATCAGAATATCTCTGTAAAGATGTCCTTATAGACTAGAAATACCTTTTTGATCTTGTACACTTAAAAACTGCATTATAAAGAAACTACATAAAAATTCCCGGCAACTCCTAAAAACAATACACACACAAAAGACATCCTGTCTGACAATCTATCACCTTGGCAGACATCTTGCCACTAATCAAGAGATGCTCTTAAACCATTTGCCATTGGTAAGCTGAACAGAGCTCCCTTTATAGTACATCTAACCTAGTGCTTCAGACAAACCTACAGAATGTTATTTGTTCACTTTTATTCCATTGCAGATGGTTCTTAGCTCCCAAATCCATAGGGTCCATTCCTTTTGTTATCTTTTGCAATCTGCCAACCTAAAGCAGAGAGATGAATCTGTTGTGGGAGGGTGATCTAATGTGCTTTTTCATCTGCCCAAGATAGAACAGTTCTTGCTCTTCCTCCATCTTCTGCCAGTAATGAGGAAAGCTTATGTCTGATCTGGATAAACTGGAGGTGATACTGACTAATGAGGAAATTTTTCTTTGATTAGATGAAGTACTGTAGCCTAGCCTTCAAATGAAGTCTTTCAGAATCCTAATTAAGAAACCTTTGGTTTTCCCAGGGGAAGAGATTATACCTGTTGTCCCAAACAGTTCTTGAAGAGAACAGGCTGAATACTTCCAGTTGGATCTGTTCTTAATCTGAAACAATTACTAAACAAAATTAGTTCTTGAAACTTTTGAGGGAGATTTTTCAATAGTCTGAGATTTTTGCTGAGATTTGGTGTCATTGCCATGTCTCTCTGGTATCTTGCTCAACAACTGTAATTTTTCTTTTAATATTACCTTACCCAGGTGTGACTGGTGCATATATTTGCCAATGGACTCAACATCTATAGCTCTTTCATGAGTAGCACATGCTCTTCCTCAGGTCTTTCAAGTAAAATTTATTCTGTGCTTTAAAAAATGGCATTATCTTGTTCAATGAAACACTGGAAATGATCCAGAATTAAGCAGATTTCAAATTATTATATTATGCACCATATTATATTAGATGCTTTGTACTGTTTGTCTGTTTTAAAGCTTTCCCTAACTCCATATACAGAAACCATTCTCATTATGCTGTGGGTTCAGGTTCCAAAAAGGAAGTTCCTTTCCCTCACTACTGCACTCCCAGCACCCTTCTACTGAGTTCAGTAATAGATAAATTAATGTTTTAGGGGTTTTTTTTCTGATTTTTTTTTTCTGAAGCTGGGACGATTTCTATTCCAGAATATCTTGTTCTACAAATCAGATAATGTACTAAGAATTTTTTTAATGAGACATATGAGGTCCTTCCTTTGCCCAAATAAGTGATCCTACTGCTACTCTTTGGCACTATTTGAGTTTTGATGGGTATGAATATACAGTCAGAATATAAAACCTTTCAGAAACTACCTTTTTAGAAATATTCTGTATGCTCTGTGTGCAATAGAAATCTATGGCTGACATGGTGATACAGACAGAAAACATGACTGAATGGCAGCTTGCTTTGTTTGTCTGTAACACTGCCACATAAGAATCTCAAAATGGATCAGTTTGGAAGTGCCCACAGTGGTCACCTGGTCCAACCTCCCTGCTCAAGCAGGGTCATCCCAGAGCACACTGCACAGAACACATTCAGCTTTTGAATATCTCCAGTGAAGGAGACTCCATAGCCTCTCAGGGCAGCCTGTTCCAGGGCATGGTCACCCACACAGTAAAAAGTTGTTCCTCATATTCAGATGGAACTTCCTGTGCATCAGCTTCTGTCTGTTGCCTCCTGTAATATTGCTCAGCACCACTGACCAGAGCCTGGCTCCACCCTTTTGACACCCTCACTTTAGATTTTTATAGACTGAGATGAGATTCCCCTCTCAGTTGTCTCTTCCTGAGACTGAACAGGCTCAGCTCTCCCAGCCTTTCCTCATAAGAGAGATGGCCCTGCCCCTCAGTCACCTCTGTAGCCCTCCACTAGACCTGCTCCAGGAGCTCCATGTCTCTCTTCTCCTGAGGAACCCAGAACTGGACAGAACACTCCCAATGTGGCCTCACCAGGGCAGGATAAACTCCCTCAACCTGCTGGCAATGCACCCCAGACACCATGAGCCCACAAGGCCCCCAGGACACACTGCTGGCTCATGGACAGCTTGCTGTCACCAGCACCCCCAGGTCCTTCTCCACAGAGCAGCTTTACAGCTCAGCCCCAGCCTGTCCTGGTGCAGGGGGTTGTTCTTCCCCAGCTGCAGGACCCTGCCTGTGCTGAATTTCAAACAGTTCTCCCCTGCCCATCTCCCCACCCTGCTGGTCCCTCTGAAGGGCTGCACAGCACTCTGGGCTATTGGCCACTCCTCCCAGCTTTGTGCTGTCACTGAGGGAACATCCATCCCCTCATCCAGGTCATGTATGAGTAAGGTAAACAATACTAGACCCAGTAATGGACCCTGAGGGTGACTGCTAGTGAGAGACCTCCAGCTAGACCCAGGCCCTCTGGGACCTGCTGTTCAGCCAAGCTTTATCTACAAAATATTTATCAGCTTTTAATCAGGTTTTATCTACAAATAGAGAAAATATTTTCTAACTAGCTAATAAAACAACATGCCTTCAACTTACTAGCAGGCAGGGAACACAGTATCAAGATTTTCTCAGGCACATCTACCTAATTAACTTGTTTTTCATGAGAAATGAAAAACATATTCCACAAGAATTCACAGACATTCTTAAATCTCCGTAAAGAAAAAGCCCTCTTGCAGAATGAGTCAGGAACTGTTAAAACATTACCTTAAGTCATTTCATTATTCATTTGGATCACCTGATCCAACTTTGCCAACGCTCAATCAATTACATGGAAGTGCTATATTAAGGCAACCATGAATCTACAAAACTGAAAATCAGCATACTTATCTGAATGGAAGTAAAACAAGTAAACTTTGAACAGTTAATAGTCTTGGGAAGAAATTCACCAAGATTACTTTGATAATAATAAAATCAGTAGAATAGGAATCATTATAGAGTGAAGATAAATATCAATAATTTAAAAATAATTATAAGCACCTGTGAGAAATGTTAATAGCTTTCTTTTAATCCCACTCTAGGGACCAATTATGACAAAATAATTTCTCCATAGTAGATTTTTAAAAAATAATAGAATTAATAAAGTAACAAATTTCAGATCTTGAAACCAGTCTAAACTAGCATGTAGGGTTATGATTTAAAAACTAGATAAAAATTATAAGTTTTTATGGAATAAAACATTTCTAAAGGTGTATTATCTCACTTAACACCATCACTAATATTCTTGCTTTATACCTATTGAATAATATTCCAAAGTAATGAATTTGCTGGATTCTGGCAACACTTTTTATTCTCTGTATTTCATAGCATTAGAGGTTGGTCTTTGCAGCTTTTCACAGAATCATCTCCCCTTTGCTTAGATCTCATGATAGTCATTCCTTTTATTTTGTCTGAAACCTGTCACAAGCTTTCTCTTAATAAATATGAATCAATGTTAAAGACCAAAATCAAGTATTTCCACCACAAAAGTTAAACATGGATAACCAGTTTCCTCAAAAATGTCAAGAAGAAATGCTTCTTTTAGAGTTACTAAGCCAAAAGATCTAATTTTATTCCTTCATAAATTCTCAGTGAAGTGTGATGGAAGTACAGCTAAGCTGCCTCACAACAGAACAAGAAAACTGAGTTAGAAACCTTATTCCAGGTTTCTGATGAAGGCTTCATCCCATCTTATAAATAGTAATTCTGTCAATTTCCAACTGGGGACTAAAGTGTGGCCTGGAATGTATCAGACTCAGGTAGTCACATAAGTTAATGTTTTTGGTGGATCTTTCAGCAGAGGTATATTAAAACTTCACCAAATTGGAGATGTAATGATGCTAACTGATAGTTACTCATGTATTTGAAGTAAATCTGACCCACTAGTCCCAAATTCATTGCAGTAATCCAGCTTGTATCTAGAACTATTCTATGCCTTGATTTAGGCCTCCAGTTTAAACAATATGATTAGGCTGGACCAAAAAAAAAAAAAGAAAAAAAAACAAAAAAAACACCAAAAAACAACAACAAAAAAAATCAAACAAAAAACCAAATCACCTGCATGTGGGCCACTTCAACTGAGGTTGAAATATCAGTGAAGGATGATCAACCTTATTTCCACTTAAAATAAGCTACTTAGCTTCAAGTTTGGAAAGGGAATGAAGCTTGTTTTGGCCTGATAAAACTTCGTATATCTTGTCAGTACTGCCAATTAATCCTGAGTTGGTGAGCTTTCTATAACCAGCCTAAATGAAGAACTGTCCCTTTTCAGCATAGGTATGTGTCCAGAGGAGACTATTGCAAATTCCTCATTTCTGATACATCAAACAGATGTCCTGTTTTAGCTGGGATTTACAACCTCACACAGTCTTCAAGTTACCTCACAGGTAGAAATAATTTCACTTAGAAATATTTTCACAAGGTAGAGGTCACCTCTTCTACCTAGTGATTGCACTACCAGGAGACTGCAAGATAGATAATATACAAACAATTTTGACTTTCATTATTTGTAGATCCTATGATATCTAAAAATTAAAGGTTTATATTAACAACAGAATTACACAACACCCTATTCTGAAAGAATGTAAGATATCAAACTGTAAAATTAAACACTGAAAAATTATTTCAAATAATTTAAATAGATTTAAAATATATAAATTCTAAATTTCTTTCTCAACAATCACTGCAAAAAAAGCTCTCTGCAATTAGAAATGCCTGAGCTGGGTTGTTTGTCTGTCATGGACATGCACTGAGCTAAGCCTCTGTTCCATTAATCCCAGGAATGAATGAGGAAGAATTGCAACCTCATGCTACTGCCCTTCCTTATTTTATACAGAGTATGTCAAATTAGGCCATGGATTGGAAAATTGCTCTAGCTTAGTGTCACAAACAGACTAGTTAAATCATTCCATGTTACTTCTGTTTGCCTTCAGCAGGAAGTGAGGCACTCTGGTGGTGGATATATAATGACAGACAGATTTTAGGTGCAGAAAACTGAGTTACTCAGGCATGGTAACTTTTTCTTTTAGCTACATCCACATAAGAGATTTTTCACTAGTTGGTCTATAAACAGGAATAAAAGTAAGATTGTGAAGTCCTCCAACTCTAAGAGGGCACCTCTAAACACTTGTCCTATGCAGGCACAGAGATATAAAGAAAACATACTTATGAAAGTTCCACATCTGTCATTAGTGGATTACCATTTACCAATAATTCCAAGTCACTTGTATTTCATGTTCATAAGAAAGCTCAGCTGAGCATATGAGCTGTTGAACTTTGATTAAGTCACATGCATATGATCATCTAATTAGGTCTACTGTCTTAGTTTGTTACTTTGATTCTACTGATATTTCTTTTTTGTTGTTGTTCCTTTAATTTGTTTCTTGACTGCTCCACTGATGCACATTAATTAGCATTCATTTTTCCAAGAAACCATGCTGGATAGCAACAGCATCAAATTTAGAAGATGCCAACCTAGAGAATATTCTTGGAACATTGAAATCAGTTAAGTTTAAACATTCATTTGCAGGCTTTTGAATAAAATTCTGGTTTTAATACCCTGTGCTAAGGTCACTTTTGGGAAGAAAGAACAAACGTTCTGCATTTAAAAAGCACCAAGCAGCATTATGCCTGTAAAGACTTAGCTCATTCTGTATTGTCCAGTCCTAAAAGGCTATTAATTGTAACCACCAATCTAGATTACTGCATGAAGTACTATGGCTCCCTATATAAGCAAATAAATAAACAAATATGATACAGTAGAAACAACTAGAAGAAATGGCCAATGCTTCAACAATCCAAGCATCACTGTCACGCTATTATAAAATTCTTTAAAACTTTATCAGTGTGCATTAAATTCCACCATTTAATGGAATCATGTTTCTTTTATGGTTCTGAATTTGTACAGTTGTATTTACAGTCTAATAGTTTCCAATGGCACTCCTACCTGCCACTCTCATCTTGATTTTGAAGATAGCAGTTGATTGTGTTGACTAAAAAGCTAAATAAACGACCATATAGAGATTTTGCCAAGAGATCCCGGTAAAAATCTGCAATCTCTATAGTGTGCCTCCGAACAATCGTGTCTCCTAAGAGAAAAAGCAGAAAATGGAGATGAAAGTGTGCTGAGAACTTCGCCTTAAGTAATTTTAGTTGCAGTAAATTTAGCTACAGTAACTTCTCCTTTGCCAAACATTTACATGGTGTTAGCTTTTTTCTGAAACCTCCAGTGAAAGATGAGAAGACTGTCAACACTCAAAAGATTTTAAGTTTGGAAATACATGCCTTTGTACTTTGTGCAAAAGAAATGTGTATGACTACTACACGGAACTAATACTTTACTGAAAAAATTTTTTTTAGATTTTTTTCCCAAGACTTGTTGGTTACAGTTCTTACTAATATTTTCTATTCATACCTAATCTGTTATCTTGACACACTTTTGTAACATTAACCAAGTTAGGAGCCCATAGGCATCACAGTGTGAAACTGTTTTGTTCCATATTACAAAGGCGTTTCTAATTTGGTAGCCCAGTCTGATTTACTGCATGGCAGATAAGCCTGCATATTTCTCAGAGGGATTGTTTACAGGACCAAACAAGAAATAAGAAACAAAAAATTGACAGCTTTTAAATTTTTTAAATCAAAAGGCTCAAAATGCCACCAGGTCTGATCTATGAGAATGTAAGCTTGGAAAAGATTACCTTTAAAATACTGAACATCAGTTGTTAAGGCTGAAGCAAGCTCATCTGGTGAAACTTGCAGCATTCCTGCCACTGAAAGGAAAAGAAAATGTAAAGACTGATTTATGCTGTACTGCATATGTGGTTTTTTACAGCAGATTTTCTTCCGTAGATTTCTTTTTGAATAGTGAAAGAATCCAAACATTAAAGGGTGCTGTCACACAAGTAATCAAAATTAACAAACACATAAAATCGGATTATTATAACCAGTACTTTGTGAAGTTTGAATGTATCTGTATATTACATTACAGCTTTCTTTCCCCTTCAAAGATTACTCAGGATTTTCCCTAGGGTTTGGCAGATTTTCTGTGGTATAAGAGTGAAGGTATACTACTTAATGACATTCTGTATCCATGAGCCACTTGGAGGAGACTTTTTAGTGACCAAGAGGGCAAACTTCAAAGTACAGAAACAAGAGATTATTTTAAAACATAGATTTTGAATGTAAGGAATTCAATGCAAGGCATATTGCTCAGCTGTTGACAAGCAGTACAAGAGCATTTCAAAACAAGACCACACAAAGTGCACTGTTCAATTTCTTTTGGCAAAAGATAGCATTAAATATGACATTTAATTAGCTGATTTGCAATACTGGCATTTTATTTCATCCCATAAAAATCTGCAATTTATAAAACATCCAAGTCAATTGGGTACTGTCTTCCCACAGTAACTTATGAATTTTCAGAAGTCATTTCTTTCGTCTCCCTGGAATTGTGTTTCCATCTGTCGGTGGAACAGCGCAACTTCGCTGCTGCGGGCGGAGCGGGCGCCGCTCCAGGGTCGCGTCCTACTGACCTTGTTCCAGGAGCTGCAGGTCTGACACAAACGCTGTCTCTGCGTCTGTCAGAGCCGTAAAGCGAATGTCTCCAAGATGCACAATTGCTGCGAGAATCACAAACAGGTTCTCCACCTCCTGCACACATTGTTTTTTTTCAGAATTAAAGATAAAGGAAAGATCTGTTGGACACCATCAGTGAAAGGCAATGCTTTATAAAAATACAAATTCTGTTAGCTTGTATCATCAGCATTTGATAAGTTGAAAAGCATTCACGTGTGATTTTCAGGAAATTTGACATAAAACCTAGCTAGGACATGTACCAACAAAATTACTTTTTATTTCCTTTGCTTTAATATAAGTCACATTAACTGCTGGGTTAAGAGATTTTTTTTCCGAATGTGATAAAAATACTGACATGTCTTTAATGGATGCATTGTTTCTGCAAAAAATAAAACATAACTTGTCCATAGAGAATTTCCATTGAGACAATTTCTGTATCTGGGAACAGCAAGGGGTTTTTTGCCTCAGCCACCTGAATTCACAAACAAAGTGTCTAGCTCTATATGTTCCTGCTATTAAAAGCTGTAATTAAGGTCTGAAAGAAAGAAAAGCAACTTTCCTTACTCTCACACTTTCCCTCCGGGATTGCATACTCTTCTGTGATGTCTCAGATTGTGAAGCAGTTATCTTTAGGGAGAGATTTTTCCTTGTCTCATTTTTATCACAGCAAGAAGAAAACTAACTTTCTTAAGTTGTTTTGGTTGGTTAATAATATTTAAAGTATTTTTAAATTCAAGAAAAAAAATATGTTCCATGGAATATGAACCTTAAATCCTAAAATATGGAAAGGATTGTGTGGTTTTGGAAGTTTTTTTTAAGGTCAGTTATATAACAATGGTGCTTCTTAAAATGGTAAAACAGGTTCATAAACCTGATATCCACTATAACATTACATGGCATTATGTACAGCAAAGTTAATTGATAATTCTTGAAGTATTTTTGAAAAAATAATATTTAGAACCTGATTTTGCTAAAACTGCAGAAGTGACAGTGAGAGATTTCACTTATCAGAATTTGCAGACTAAGATTATAAATACACTACTAATTAAATACTTAGCTGATACATCCTCTTTTTTTCTCAAGTTTTCTTCTTCTTTTCTTCATGTTCCTTTCCCTTATAAATGTGCCAATCATCAAAGGGCATTAGAAAAGCTTGCAGTCTTTCTGGGATAGACTATAGCACCTCCAGTGCTGCCTAAGCAAGTTTGCTTCTCTAAACTTTAAGACAAGAATATCAAGCTCTCACTGTATGAGGGAGATGTCAATAGGGCAACAATGTATTTCAGTATTACATGGTATCAAAGCTGAAGAGTCAAAAAAATCCAGTATATACAGAGAAAGTCTGAACAAGTTAACCCTTAAAATAGAAGTTATGCTAATATAGAATTCCAACTAGGATGCTGTACTGTGCTTCTTGGGATGGTATCTCAGGCAAGATAACATGGCACACTAGCACTGAACACTGCTTGCCTCATTCAGGTTAACTCATTCAGGACTGGTCAGGGTGTGACTGTGCAGCACTGAATGGCAGCAGGCTGGGATAGCCCTTCCTCTGGTGATTTTGGTAAGGTCTCAGGTATATTTCACATTCCAGATTCTCAAACACTTTTTCGTTGTGTAAGATGCAGGTTCCCCCACCTTTAAAACAGTAATTGTTTTTAATAAACATTAACATACCTTGGAAGGTATCATTAATGACTGCTATGGAATTTTTTATGTAGTTTTTCAAAAAGGTTATCTACTCTATCATTAAATGTGGCTAGGTAGTCAACAAATTATATGTACAGAGCTTCACATGTACCTCAGAAGTAATGGGTAGAAACTTTAGGAATGTGTTTTATTTACATATTGCACTCAGGAGATCAGCCTGCAATACTTGAGATTTTCATAGATTTCTTGCCCCCTAAATATTATCCTAATGCTGGCTGAATACAGACCAGCCTTCAAGATGTTGACACTTTTCTGAGAGGTAACTTATTTTCAAGAATTCTGAGTGATATGAAGTACAGGACTTAAAAGAATACTGTATATGAAGCATTTTCAGTCATTTACTGCAGGCTTATAAATCATGATTCATTTAGCATTCAATTATTTACTTATGGGCTGAATCCCTCTCTGAACAGAACAGAAACATTAATGAAAGAGCAAGAGAGATCCACCAAACTGTGAACACTGGGCTAAATCCAGAACTGTCTGGACCTTTTGTTCTTGAAATCTACTAGTACAGAGGTTGAGCCACTAAGAGTAAGGAATAACATTGTCAAATATAGCCATATGCATTTAATTTTGTATATGGCCTCATGAACATTCATTAAAATAAACCCTACTCTTCATTACATTGAAAGGTGACGATTTCTTTTGACTGCCTTAACTAGGGAATGCCAAACAGCTCCATGATGTACCACCACAGAAGTCTATCTCCCAACTAAATAACAGCTTCAGCAGATTCACACATTTTTTTGTTTGATCCTTTTTTATTACAACTGCTGCCCATCTGCCATTTTTTATGATGTTTTAGGTTAGAGCTCCATTAACTTTTTGTCCCCTTCATTCTAATGATATTGTACAGGGGTAAGTGCTTACCTCCTTCTAAAACTACTGTTGCTTATGTATTTCTCTTGCAGAAGTGTTCCAGCTACAGTGTGCTAGTAGCATATACATATGTAAGAAATATGGGGATTTTGTTAAGCACTGTAGTATCCTGAAGGGATATACAGTTCACATGAGTTCTTATATTCATCTTTCTATTTCTTCTGATTTCTGTCACGCTTCTGTCCTCCAGAACCTCTTCTTGATTAATTTTCCAAATTATCTTCTTCATTAGTTTCATAGGCTTAAAGACAAACAGCAGGCCTATCTTCTTGTTGCTTTTGGGGAATTAAGACAGCTCTTTCAAGTTACCTGCCTCTAATTTTCTTTGCCTAAATAGGTATTTACTTCTTTTCAGGTGCTGTTAGCATATGTGTGTTTCACAGAATTAAAAAGGATGGGGAGATAATCAGGAAGAGGAAAAAATTTCCATGGCTTTTATGAGGTGTCATATGGGATTTGATTACTTCTTTTCATCTATGTAATTTAATTGTTCAGAGTATTATACCTTGAAGCAGTTTTGTGAATCTTTAAGAACGAAAAAGATTTACATTGTTGGTTTTGGGTCTAATTAAAAGTGATTACAGTAATTTCCCTGGAGTGAACTAGTGCTGTATTTGTTTCAAGGTCTTAACTAACAGGACAAAAAAAAATAAAATTAAAAAAAGACAGAAAGACGCTTCTTTTCCCCACAAAAGGTTATCTGTGAGAGTTACTTATGGCCTGCTTTCAACTAATATGATCATTTTGGCCAAAAATACATAAGCTCATGTAACTTACCAGACTATTGAATCCCAGAGCACCTAGAGCTTGTTTTAGTATGGTCAATTTCTCCCTGTTTTGAGGGTTGGCTGCTAACATCGTCTCTTCTGATACAGTCTGGCTTAGATACCTGCACAAAGGAAAAACAGCATATCTGGTATTTACAAAGCTAGTGCATGATAAAACTTTTGAAGTTAAAGTCCAGCTTTACTGGACTTTTTCTAACCAGAGGTTTATTGCAGTTTTTTCTTATACTTTGGAGGGAGCAGTCCCAGTGACAGAATGTTCTGTATTCCCTTCTTAAACTTTTGCTTAAGACTCCCCACAACCCCAACTTTAGCCCTACGTGAAAGCTGAAAGTTCAAACAGGATTTATAGCAGTGCCAGTTTTCCCAGTCTTGCACTACCAGAGATTCCCCTTCAGAAGGCAAATTCGAGGAGAACCTCTGATAACTCTGACTACTTTAAATTCCCCTCTTGCTGACAAGGGAATAGATCAGCCCTTAACTGCCACAACGATTACTCCTTCCCCCAGCAGCTGAATAGGTGATAGGTATACTGAACATCTCTCAAAATTAAGCAGCAACCAAATACACAGAGCAGTAAGTGTACAGCCCTTAAGCTACACAGCTGTGAACACTGCCAAGTAGAAGGAAATTTTATGCACCTTCCCAAAAACAATGGTTAGTAGAGTGAAAGAGAGACACCTAGTGCAGCAGCTAACTCAGGGGAAAAAAAAAAAACAGAAGCAATATAAAGAGTAATAATACAAAAAAGATTAATCACAAACTGTAGCAAAACAGATTATTGAAAAATGCTTCAATCTTGCCTTTACAACCATTTATTTTGACCCTCTTGAAGTAAGTCTGTATTTTTAAAAATATTTAGGTATCTTCATAGAGCTGAAATCACTAAGAATGAGGTGTCTGAATATCTTACAAGACCTGACTTCTAATTACATAATGCTGAGAATGTAAGATATTTTCTTTTATTGTTTTGATTAAATTATCATAAGCATTAAAATGCACATTCATGACACAATCTGCAATCTTCACAAAAGTCACTTAAATAAACAAGAGAACTCTCCACACCTCTATCCAAATATCATCACTACACCAACAAAGGTGGACAACTCACACACATTGCAGCCCTCACCCTTCACCACAATTACAACAAAAATTCCCCACAATTTTTCTGCTCTCTACTGATGTTCAGTCCATGATTTGTCATTTAAATATGGGAAACAATACTGGTTTAATTTTTGACAATTTTTGTTTACAATCATGTTCTCATACCACTATAGAGAAGACATAGTTTCAAAATAAACTTCTGTTACCATGGCAGGTCTGGCAACACTCTACTAGGGGTGGTAGTTCTTGTAAGGGTGCCCTTTTACATGACTGTGTAGGAAGAATTATTCAGTAATTGCACTTTTCTAACAGATAATGAGGTTTAAATAGTAACCCCAATGAAACATAAAATGCATTTTTAGTGAACACATACTAGATTTACCAGTGTGGATTTCCCTTGCAGTGGTAATGGCATAATTTACCCAAGAAAGTGGAAAGGAGAAGAATGATGGGGTTAAAAATGTCTGCCTGGGTACATAAGTATCTTTTGCACCCACAGGAGGACTAACTCAGCAGATATCTCAAGTATGAACAAGCCTCTGACATCAGTGGATAAAGGTGGTGGTTCACCAACCTTTGAGAACACGGGTCTGTGAGCATCACTGCCAGAACTCAGCACTGGTTCCTCGAGGTTACTAAAACATTAATTTTGTCAGACTGAGGTAGGTACTAATGAAGCATAGCTGTCCAATCAGCTAGAAAAGATGATATAAAGTATAGCCAGCTTTATGTTGTTTTTTGGGTTTTTTTCCCCTGGAGTTTTTACACTGTCTATAGGTTCAAAAGGAGCCTAGAATACATCTAATACTGAATCTGGCATAGAACCTACTGGTGTAAAGGTTAATCCACCAGAAAATTTTCCACTCTTCTGAACTGCTGCATGAACTTATGCCAGTAACATGTTATGCATCCTGAGTTGGTGGCACTTTTGATCTGTAATTAGGAGATTTACAGCAGCAGCCACTCTGCTGTCAAAATATTCTATTGTTGAATGTTGTAGGAGTTGGAAGCATATGGCCATTTATGCAAAAAAAGCCTCCTCCTCAATGATTTTCTCTCTAAATAACTCTTTGTCTCTCTCTGTACTGAGCAGGGAGTAGCCTTTCCTGTTCTGTGAAGAGAATACTCCACACTTCTCCTTTTTAAGCAATCCCATTCAACCAGCACTTTTTTAGCACAGCTGAAGTGCTAGTGGGTACCATTGTTGCAAAAAGCAGTGTGAGCAGTACCAACACCTCTGAAAGCAGCACAGCGAGGTGGTGCAGAACCCTCACTCTCTGAGAGGAAAGAGCTGAGCTGCAGCATGAAACCACACGTGCCAGTTCTTGCCTTCAGCACAGCTCTTGCTGATACAGCAGGGGTCAAAATGGGTGCCTGCCAAACCAGGTGCCTATGGCTCTAAAAACCATCTGAAAACCATAGAAACTGCAGCCTCTGCTGGGACTTGCCTGCTGGAAGAGAACCTAACTTTCCCAGCTATACACGTCCTGAAGACTTAATCAACAGATGTGCTGGTGCTCTTGGAAAGGGATGCAGTTGGACATTTTCTAAGGTGTGCTTCAATTTAGTTTCCCCAGTCTAAAAGCAATTAAATAATTTTGTAACATTTCAGGAGGCCCACTCATTTTCCAAACTGTTTAAGGACTAATGAAATATAAAATGTTGCTTTGAAGATTTGACTGTTATACGTTTATAATATAAAGTAGGCTCATATTAAGGATGGATTAACTGTATAGAGTACTTGGAACTGCTGATGGATATCATACAACCCTCCCAAAACGTAGGAAATACAAAGTGTAATACAATATATTCTAACCATACAACAAAACGTATTTTATTATTAGTTAAGTCCATTCTGCCTCAGAAACATAGTAACATTTGGATATAATTTTATTTTTCTTTTAAAAAAAGCTCCCTGGCAGCTCATTCTTTCCACCTTAAAGATGTTGAGGAATAAAAAGGTTTGAGACATCATTTATCTCAATATTACTACTCTTATTATTACCTATTTATGTTTAAGAAGTAGAGTCCAGAACAAATCTTAAATTGCCCCCTCTCCTACAAAATTAAGGAAAGGGGAAAGAGATGTGTCACAGTGCAAAAGTCCTAATAATAATAAACATTCCTTGGTTGAAGATACATCACTTTTCCATCAAATGTAAACTTTTTTTCCAGGATGTGTATCTTTCCTCATATCTATAGTGCACTTTTGTCTTTTGACATTGAAGTGGCCTGGGCAGAATGGCATTGCTGGTGATGATGAGTAACTAAACTGCTTAAAATTTATATTTTGAACTTACCATGGAGATTTTAGTTATTATTTTTATTTAGATTTTTTGCCATTGTGAACTATACTCATGAAAACCTACAATATTACTTGAGTGTGTGCAATGCTCCTACAATTTTCCAACAAAATACTCTGTGTTCAAATGTAAACTAGATCTGGTGACTCCTGAGTTCTTTGTTGCTGATAATTTTAGTAAAAGAGGTAATACTGCTGTACAGTCCAGAGCTGATGTTCCATAACAGCTGATGCACACAGGCTGTGCACCACTTTCATACTTCCTTAGTTCAGTTTTACTCGCCTTACTGGCATATCTCTGTGTGCAAATTCATTCTGCAAATGCACATTCACATTAGTTTACTGTAGCTTAAGAAAATAGTTCTCAGATTTTGGATGAAGTTGAGTCTCTTAATTGAAGGCAGCTACTCAAGCAAATGATATTTATATATCTCGCAGAAGTGACAAACCAAAGAGTTTATGCAGTTGTAGTAATTAACTCCTTTCTGCTGACTGTGTAACTATTTGTTTAAATGCTACCTCATGCTGACATTTGCATCAGACTAGTACTTTTAACAGACAGTTTATCATCACACAAAAAAGCTTTAAAGTCATGGTCAACGATTTTTATTTCAAAAAAGAAAAAACTCACTGATTCACAAAACTTCTTTTCTTAAAGAAGATAAACTAATTGAATTGTAGTATAGTCACTTTCAGTAAAGCACAATGCTACATTAGATAGACAATTTCTTGAGAAATGTAAGAGACTATATAGTTTTACTTTCTGATTTTTTTCCCAACAGTTTGAATTTGCAGCACTGTAGCACTCTTATCTATTCTAGTCTCTAAAAGAAAAAAAAATACTATTTAGAAGAAAAAGTCAATGGTGGAAATTTTTTAGTATATTGTTTATCATAATATACAATTTTGAGCTGTTAGAAGACACACCATAGATCAAATTTTCAGGTAGGAATGTGACCATTAAAACCAAGAGTATAAAAAAGTACTTAGTATGACATTCAATTCTTAAACATTAACCACCCATATAATTCCATAATTAACTTACCTGTCTACCTTATCATTATCATTAAAATTGTTATACATCATCACAATTATTTGACTTGTATATTTGGTACACAGATCTCAAATGTGAAGAAGAAATATGTATGTCAGCTTACCTGAACAATATTGAACTTTTGTGACATAAGCATATTTCAAAATTTTCTACATAACCCCACCAGTTAAAAACCTTTGTTCAAATAGTTAATCCTCTGCTTAGATGATTGAGCAAATAAGGAGACTAAAGTTAGAACTAGCTAAGACAAGCAAAGACTAAAATGAAAAGTTTTGACTTTCAGTTTGCCCTGACAGAAACTCAGCAAAATAATATCTGATTTATATTAATTTATTTTCTTTTGAACTGTAACCCAAAAGCATTTAGTATCAAAGTGATCTACCTCATTCAACATAGACAATTCATGTAATTCATGTTTATTCTTAGAACTGCTGCATTTATATAAAATCTGTGAAAAGACAAAAATAAACGAGTTTGAAATCTGATAATAGATCTTGATATTTTACTAACAAAGTAAAACATTACCGAAACACTATCCTAACCACTTTGCATTTGTAGAATCTGACACCTGAAATGTTCAAGTATTCTGTAAGAGCAGCCATTTTATGCCACACACATTTATACATATTGCTCTGTACCATAGA